CCCATGTAGTGGGATTAAGGCTTTGTTGTTGTTGTCTGTTTTTTCCTTTGTTTTTAAAATCAAGTTTGTTATATATGTTATTAATATAGTTTTATTTTTTTTGTTGCTAAAAAGAAATAAATATGTTTTCGCAAATACTCAAAACAACTTTTAGATGTTTTGGATGTTTTAAAAAACAATCATATCTTAATCAAATATACCAAACATGCTTTGTTTTCAAATCAAAACAGAAACAAAAAAAAAATAATAATAATAAAAAACACAAAACAAATGTGATCCCAACCGTCCCCTTAGTAATTGCTCTGAGAACTTTACAGCAATGAACATTTATTAATTGCTAATTTGAAATGACAACATACAAGAAAGCGTTTATCAGGAGAAAGGGATGTATCAGTAATTGTCCAACGCAAGCTTCTTGCCAGAACGTCCTTCCGTATTTTCCAGCCATTATCAACATCATACACTCTTATATGACTTCCCTTCAATAATTAAAAAGTTAGAAGAATTAATAGGAACCGAAAGCAAGAGAAGTATCAGCTGGCTTGAAGAAAAACAAGAATGAAGATAGAATTCCACATGCTTTACAAGATCAATAAGCACTACCTACCTGAAATCCTGCAACAAAGAGAGAACCATCAGCTGAGAACTGAGAAACATAGACTCGTGTATCCATTCTGTCCACTTGCCATGGGCCATAAACAGGAAGATATCTGCCAAGAATATGGGAACAGTCTGCCAAGGAAAATCTTCCCAGTCCTGAACAATTTGCCTCTCTTCCAAATAACATTTTTACTGTCGATATAGGCAGCTTCTTCCCTGAAAGTATTCCCTTACTAAATGCCTCACAGGGTAAAAACCGCAGCTTAGTAAGCTGAAAAAGCTCATGGTCAACATTGAAGACACCTTGATCCAGTCTTGATGAAGCTACGCTGCTTCCCTGTTCAGGTGTACATGAGTTGTTTTTCATGCTTGGTTTGCTCAAGGAATAACCCATTTAGGCAGTCTGGAGGACGCTTCCCCTCTTATTAGTCCAATGAGCTGGGACTGAGCTTAACTCACAACTCCTATTATAAAATAAAGCAGCATAAACCCTAAAAGTTTTGATTTGTTAGGGAGAATAAAGGATAGAAGTGCGAAGTTGTTTGAAGAAAAATGATGATTTCATCTTAGATTTCAGTTCAAGATTGGCTAAAATAGTCAAGATAAAGGTGATATGTCATCCTCGAGTTATACAAGGTGCGCTCTATCTTTAAATTATTTATTTTCAGTCAAGATAAGCTGATGTTTTAAAAAAAATGCATGCTGCACAACTAGACATGGTGCCTAATTTTACATTTTGATCGCAGGAACAGATATACCTTGAGCAAACATATTAAACACTGCCGCAATCTTTTATGAAACTGTTTTATTCGTGTATAACCAGACGAAATCAACCAAAACCAGAGCAAGAAGAAGTCAAGTGGTTCAAATTATCAGGCGTCCAAAATAGCTGAAAAACAATTAATGGAATTCTTTAACTGCAGAATTCCAGTCTTCGAAAAGGACGGAAGAGGCACCAAAACAAACGCCCGGACATCAATTTCTTGCTAATCTTTAAAGTAAATTAGCCAGTGATTAGGGTTCGATTCCATACCGGGGAAATCAGAAAGATCCGACGCTTCCTCGATTTCTCCTCTTGCAGAGAGAAAGAGAGAGCGACATCTGAAATGCAAGCAAAAAAAGACCAACGGCTAAATTGGTTATCGCATAAAAATTTAGATATTGACACGGGTAAATTTAGCTTTATACGCCTCATTATAAGTACTCATAAATATGTTATTTATATTTTTATTTATGAAAAAAACGTTTGAAAATTC